TTTTTTTTTGAATGACTCTCTCCGTTTTGAATGGCGTAAGTTTGTAGACCTTCAGTTGAATTCTACAAGTACCTACTCTATATATTCTCCTTAACCCAGATTGGAACACAACAGTAGTGACTTCTGTCGTCAATCACGGTTTATCCTATATCGGAAAACTTCAGATCTGATATAGAGATCGGTAAATGTAATGGACGAGAGTTCTTCACGGCGCAGTAGTACTCAATCAACCACAACAAAAACATCAAGAGGAACTGATATACAACGCCAACACCGTATTACTAGAGCTTTAGCTCGAAATAATCAAGAAGCCAATCAAGTACTTAACGAGAACATACCACAACAGTTAAGGTATTATTTTCGAAGAAGAGAAATAAGTATGGACATTCAACCAGAACCAATGGACATTGATGAGCCAGCTGCATTGGAAATTTCTGAGAATGCAGGCAGAGATGATTCAAACATGATGAACATGGACCATCCTAATGATTCCGGGTTAAACTCTGATGGTAACGACATAGAAAACGAAAATATTAATCACAGTGCAGAATTGGGACACGACACTGATAGTGACGATGAAAGTATTCAACACAATGATAGTATTACGAACGAAGTACGAGAAGAAATTGTAAACCAAAGAGTTTCTCTTCCTGACGACGTTAGGGATGCACTCGCAGCTATTACACGAACAAAAGCAAATAGTGATCAGTTGGGCCGGCTTGCAAATCACTTCTTATCCGACAGCAATCCGCTTACAAATTGGAACCTCGCTTTACTTGTTCACAAACTGGCGGAAATAATTAAGAAAGAGAGTGTCACCGGAGGACTACCACCCGAATTCATGTTTTCTGGTTCTAGTGATATGGATCCACTGGTTATGCAGAGTTTGATTGATTCTGCTATATTTTCCAATGATCCAGCCGATTCCAACGTAATAACAATGGCAAGTAGATGTCTAAGCAATTTGGTAACGAAATTGGGAAGAAACGCAGAGTCTATGATCGGACAGTCTATAAATGAAAAAGTTGTACCGCTTTTATGCGATATTTTAACTGAGGGACCTCAAACAAATGATTCTGAGCATTTAAAAGCTATTATTATTGCATTATATCAATTTTCAAAACCATATCGAATTAATTGTTCACGTTATATAATTAACCGACGTGTACTTCCTCATATATTTGGGTCCATTCTTCCATTTTTTGCCGACGGCGACCGTCTTCTTCCACTGAAGCTATTAGCTAATTGTTGCCAAAATGCACCACGAGATTGTTACAATATATTGATGGACGAAATTATTAACGGTGATGATTTCCAGTGTTTATTCGCCGATTATGAACCACCATATGTTGTTCGTCGATGCTCTTTGGTTATTTCATATATGACATCCCTTTACCCGGATGATTTGAATTCATTTAGAGTATGTTTATTTGATGATCTCAAAGTCTCTGCCTAATTATTGTTGACTCTTTTTTTGGTTTACATCTTGTTAGATATTTAGCAATGATAACGTAATAAGGCTTATGGTTGAAAATGTCAATGTCTTTAGGTTGGGTACAGATTTCTTTTTTTTTGTTTTATGAACATTTGTAAATAATAAATATTTCTAATCATGTAGAATTGATAATGCTTTTGTTTATTAGTGATGAAAACTCTAATAAACCTGACGACGATTTAAATGAAGATGAATGCAAGTTACATATCTGGAAAATGTTTACCACCTTAACCACAAAGTCTCCAGCCAACCTTGCAAGGATTTTTCAGCACGGCATTGTGAGAGCTCTGTACGAAACCTTAACACACACACCTGCTCCGTTCATTGATCATCGAATTACAACTAAAAGTTTGGTGGAAAAGGTTCAAAAAAGTTTAAGAAATTCGAAATCAAGGTTAGAATCGTATAATCTTTGCAAATGTATCTTCAATTTCATATTGAGACTATTTCCATCACTTCCACGAACGGGTGTGTTTCGCAGTCCCATTTATTTATTGTTTTTTCCTTCGCTGCAATTTTTATCTAACATATTAATATTATAGGTTCACAACAAATACAACAAATAAACCATATTCATGGTGATTATGACGATGACGATGAGGACCGAATTTCAGATATTTTAGGGACAGGTTTGTTGCAATCTCATTTTAATAAACTATATTTATAATATGTTGTCAGACACCAATTCTTTTAACATTTGGAAGGGATTGAAAAAGTTGATATGAATGATATGAGTGTTGACCATGAAGAAAATCCGCCCGTTTTTATGTCGGAAGAGCAAACAAAAGTTTTCGCGTGTCTTATATTACCTGCGTTGATTCAAGCTTATTATTCTACTAATATATCCACTGAGGCTAAAACTTGGGAAATAAGGGCGATGATTATTGATTGTGTTGTGGTTTTTATTCTTTATCTGGATAACGAGTTGATTCACGACATTTTGGAGGTTCGTACAGTGATGTTCTTATATAATTATTGCAATATATTTTCAGCTTCGTTAAATAAATCTAACTAAATAAATATATACAAATATTTTAGCAAGCAGAAATTCAAGATTTTTTGGAGACTGTTTTCAAAGCAACATACTATGTCTCCAATGTTAACGATAGTAATGTAAAGCACGTATTCCGGCAGGGAATGGAAATTATAGCTCAATGTCTTGATAATTGGGGTGAAACATTTGAAAAAAAATTTGCGTA